AAAAAAAAAAAGAAAATAATATACGCTTTTGTGTATTTATATTCATAAAACGTTATTTGTTCGTTTCCTTATATACGCATCCAAAATATGATTATTATTTAAATTCTATCTAATAAATCAGACTAATTCGTTAATTGTATTTTGTGTTATTAAGGTGCTCCGAGGCGAACAAATAATTCCCGATTATTAAATATCAAGTGACTATAATTTAATGGAGAATATCGCTCGATAAAATATGTAACGAAGCGTGTTTTGTTTGTGCCGTAACGAGCATAATGATTCGTGCATCGTTCGATGGGATAATTGAAAATACGAGGAAATTTTTTACGCTTCGATAAAACGCCAGCGTTAATTAATAAATGGCCAAACGAGAGAGAAAAGAAATTGTTTGTGGTTCGCGGGAGCAAAAAATCAACTAACTAATAATCAAGCTCCAATGGAAATTTTTAAAAGAGATCTTTATAGCTGGTAATATGATCGACTATTTTCCAAACTCATGTAATCTAGGTATCTTTACATATGTATGTATATCCTTTCTCGATTTCACATATGTCTATAAACGAATTCTATTTTTCGATACATACCCATTAACATAACGAACTTTTTATCTCTTCCATATCGTTTCGTACTTTCGAACATCATTCAACTATCGTAACAATTTTCGTACGAAACTTTGCCACGTACATCATCACATTTATATTATTCCAAGGATACACTGACGTCGATCAATCATCGCGAACGTCACGCTCGTCTTTATAACTTTTATTATGATCCTTTCAACGTGTTCCATGTCACACGTATGTACTATTATTATCGATAGATAACTAAACTTTGTTTTTTAACGGAAATGATCTTTATCGTTGATAAATAAAGTATAGGAAAATAATTATTGGTGTAATTATTGTGTTGCAAATAATAATAATAAATCTAAATAAAATTGGCTTTTATGATTTATTTTGTACAAAATAAAAACAATTGTAATATCAAATAAATCATCAAATAAATATTTCAAAATTTATCAAATATTTTTAATTTCACAAAGTTATTTGTCTGTTATATAATATAAAGGGTCTCACACACACAGTTTCAACATTTAATCTACCAATAAATAAATTGTCAGCTCAAATAATAAAACAAAGAAATATATCATTTAAAATATATTCATCAAATTCTGTAGTGTGTACCATGTTGTTTGTACAGGTAGCCTGATAATAATTAAAAACAACTTGGCACGCAATAAATTAAATATGAATTATTTAAAAAAAAAAAAAGAAAAAAGATATCTTTCAATTGTACGAATTGGAAATAAATAAAAATTGGAATTCGTAAAGAAAAGATGTAAAGTCCCAACTCAACGGTAAATACCGTGTGTTATCAAGCGACTATAATAAACCATGTCCGATGGTAAAGATACAAAAAGAAGCGTAATCGAGACGAAGGTGGTCGTAAAATTTAGCAACGAATGAACGCGAACAGGAACGAACGAGCATCGAAACGAGAGAAACGAGTGAGAGCTATCGTGAAAAGTACCTACTATACATACATAGATACATACATATATATATATGTATATATATATATATATACACCTATATACAAAATGTATCTATATCGAAATATATTTTTACTCGTTATACGTTTACCGTCCGACCGTTAAACGACTCGAGTTTCACGGGACTGGATAGTAGTGAATATTGGTTAACGGGGAAGTAAATTATAACAAACCACGTATATCCGAGTGGTATTTTTCCTTTTTTTTTTTACAATACTCGCTCGTTGCATTTTACTTCTTTTACCCTCGAGGAGATGGGGAAGAAAGAAAGAAAGAATAAGAATGAGAGAGAAAGAGAAATAAAAAGAGTAACTTTTATAAGTACTTTTGTAGAATCCTGTTCTTTTTCTTAGTGATTTTTCGACTTTTGTTTACATTCGAATCGACCGCCGTAAATTCAAAGAGATTCATCGACGTCTAGAAAACTCCGAAGTCATCGTACAAAAGTAATTTTGTTTGTTCGTTTCTTTTTCTATTTGACTATCTCTTATATATCTCTTTTATTTTATTATATTTTATTATATTTTCTTCTTTTCTATTTTTCTTTTTTTTTTTTTTTTTTTGTTCAACCCATCGAAAAAACTACTCCGACGAAGAGTAGAATTATGTCACGATTTATGACATGAAAATGTATACATGAATCATTAAGGATGTTATATTTTACCAGCACCGGGAAGTAATACAAATTTTATATATCCCCCTCCACCTTCTCCCTCCCCTCCTCTTTTCATAGGTCGAACAACTCGTAAGACAAATATACGTACTTATCGTTCCTTCCGCCTCGTGAAACGACTTACGACCTACGAAATTTCACGTAGCTACAATGTAAACTGCTCAGTCGTTTCTCTTTATCGGTGCAACAAACACATATGTAAGTAAGTAAGTAAGTATATAGAAACGTCTTACGTATCCTGATACTCGCGCACGCGCTTATAATACTTACTATGAAATTCTTTCATTCACGTACACGTACACTCTTTGTCGCCCACTTGCTATACTACTTGCTCGCTTTATACTAAATCAGAATCTTATACTTACTCTTATTCGCGAGATTTCAGATTCGTCGTAAAGACGACTCTCGTAAAAGAATTGCGTTAAAGTTAACGTTCGACCGTTAAGAAAAGTCCCGATAAAATCAAATCTTAATCCGTTTCAAACCTTCGCTAGGAGATTTAGGATCCTCGTACTTTTTTTTTCTTTTTTGTTTCTTTTTTGTTCTCCCTCCCCCGTCCCTTTAAATTTTTTTTCCATCTCTTCTTTCTTTTCCCTTATTTTATCCTTTGGACTTTTGTCATCTTTCGGAAAAAAAAAAAAAGGGGGGAAAAGAAAAGCTTACCACTTATCCTTACCGTTCTTTTTTCTTTTCTTTTCAAATCATCCTTAATGATTCACTTAAAAATTATCCGTTCAAATAATTTTGTGGCTTCAGTAATCGTTACGTTTGTATGAAATAAATCATAACTATTGTATATATATATATATATATATATCGATTTGTTTGAAACTCTATACCTGTATAATCTAGATAGTCATACTTTCATCCAATATTAATAATATGTGGGTAAGTGTTCTTATTATAATTAATAAAATATATCATGGGAAATGTTCAAATACTTTAGCGAATCACTATATATATATAGAAAGAGATAGATGTTCTCTACAAAATTCAACTCATCCAACTAATATTTTAATACTCTCAAGCGAATAGAAGTATTTTAAATAGAATTTCAAAATTATTTAACGAGATCGTTTAAAAGTTTTTCAGCTATCGGTGAAGTCGTCCTTCGTCGTCGTAGTCGTCGTTTTCTCTTTGTCGTTGTCGTTGTGTCATCGTCGTCGTCGTACGCCAACGACACAGACGACGAGTGGCATCACGAGAGAGTTTATACGAAAGAGGAGAAGAAGAATTTTAAACGAAACGAAATCTTTAATTCCCTTCTAGCCTGGAGGAGAGAAGCGGAGATTTAACATCCTTCCGCCCTTCTATGCTTTTCTTCCATGCCCTTCCATCTCGAAGGCCATACCCATCCGGTTTAATTCCTTTCCATCTTTCTTTATTTCTTTCTTTCTTTCTTTCTTTCTTTTATCCTTCCTTCCGTTTCTTTTTTTGTTTTTTCTTTTCTATTTTTCTTTTAAATTAAATGTAACATCTCGAAGATCGATATAATGTGTTTAAGATTATTAGTAAAATATATTGTAAAACATAATTTAATTTTTAAAATCCACACACACTATTTTTTTTGCTTGTATGTTTCAGCAAGAACGGTTACGTTTGCATCATGTTTCATAAAAGGGACGAACACGTGATAGAAATGCAACTATCAAAATGGAGCAAACAACCGGACGACGTGTGCAACTCGACTACATTCAACTCTCATTCGACACCGTTCACAACGTTCATTAGTAAGTCAGGAAAGATCGTTCTGAAATAAATTTTCTCTTGGAATATTCGTATGGTGGTACGAGAAATGGGAGGATGGAGATTCATTATTCCAAACGAATTCGAGATAGAGATAAAGATAGAGATAGAGAGAGATAGAGAGAAAGAGAAAGAGAGAAAGATTTGTCTATTCTTTATTATCTCATCCAGTCGACATATTATACTACCTCAAATAAACGATTTTCTCAAGTGTTGTGACAAGCACGAATCGAATTCGAAGTGATTTGCTTCGAAGTAATTTGTAGTAAGCCGTAAATTGAATGTTCGTTTCTTTGAGAGAGAGAGAGAGAGACACACAGAGTAAGTTGCCGAACATTTTTTTCACTTCGAGTTTGACTTCGTGGCTTTCTCGATTTCCGTTATTATACGTTATCGAGCAAACGTGTTTCTCGCTCGACTGATCACTACTATTCCCCGGCTTCGAATAATCTCAAACTTGCGAAATTCTGTGCTGTGAGATAAAAAGAAAAAAATTGATCGGCAATTTTGTTTGTCCTCTTCCTTTTAACAAGTCCGTTGTTGACCGAAAAAAAGAACGGGCAAAAAGATAAAGAAAGAAAGAGAGAGGTAAAATTAAACAGAGAGAAGAAACAAGAAGGTATAATCTCTTTGAAGAGTACGAAAAGAAGAAGAGGGTCAAGAGGACCAATGTTGGAGAGGCGTCAGAGGGACCCGCTTAATCCAAGGAAAAACTCGAACTGGAACGTGTTCGCAAACTATACACCTTGTTCGAACTTATTTGGACGTATACATACATGTATATACACACATATATAGGTGTGGTATCGATCGGTGGACGATGCCAAGACGAATACAAAATAAAAAAATAAAAAGATAAAGAGAGAGAGAGAGAGAGAGGGTGAAAGAGAAACTAAACGAGGATAATTCTTTATCTCATTGTCAGTATCTATCATCGAATTTGACAAAAGCACTAAAATACCTAGCAATCGTATAATTTACGAGCGATTCTGTTTATACGATAGAGTAAACAGTATGTGTCATACTTTTACCTTCTAACTTATTTCAATAAGAACATATTCTATATGTATATTATATATGACACGTATTACGTGCACATGTGAAAAGTAACAAAGTGTTAGGAAATTTAACAATCAATTCACGCAACTCTTTACGAGCACACGTAACATCCTTCTCTCTTTCACGAATCTGAAATCGTTATAGACATTATTCGATTCCATAAGCGTTACGAAGAACCTGGTCGTTTCAAATTTATCACGACTATATTTACGATTATCTCTCTCTCTCTCTCTCTCTATCTATCTATCTCTATCTTTTTTCTTTCTCTCTATTTTTATTTCTCTCTATCTTTCTCTAACTTTCGACGTACAAACACGCGGAAGATAGCTTGCGCAAACGAATAAATTCCGTTCTATGTAGTTCGGTTAAAAGTAGAAATGCATGAAGAAAATATGGTCAGGAGCTTTGGAACCTAGAACTTTTCAGTCGTGAAATTTGAATTTCGAGAATATCAAGAACTAGAAACTTTATTTCTTTTTTTTTTTATAATCAGAACATCGTACTCGTATAGGGTATTCATCTATACTATTTGGAAACTTGTATTATGTGTTTTTCAATGTATATATATTTAATTTGCAATATTGATAAATGAGATAGACATGTTTATTATTTATTGTAATATCAAGGAAAGGATTATTTGTTAAAAATAACACACAGTTTCAAATGTTTTCCATCTCGATCCAATTTGCACTATACAATTTAGTCACGAAGTAAGGATAACTTGTGGTTGTCAAATGTGAACTTTAACCAACGCTGTTCTGTTTATTAACAGAACACGTGATACTAAAATGATACGAATTTTCAAAAACTTTATTAAAAACTATACCGGCAACCATGCGTATACAGGTCATGAAAAATATTTTTATCAAAATACGTGAGTGCATCGTTCGAAATAGGAAAAAGGAGGAGGGCATTTGAAGAAATTTTATATTCACAAAATAATTCTTTCTTTTTGTTTTATTAGTTTTATAAAATCATGACAAATGGCAAACGCGTGCATACATAAAACTCTAATATCAATATTGTAAATAAAATTTATGGACACATTGAAATAACATATATAATATCAAAGTTATTAAAATATGATAAACGAACGTAAAGAAAAAAAATGTCTTATAAAATAAATATATAATATATTTAAACTTTTCTTTTAATTAAACAAAATTATAGAGAGAACAATGTATTAAATTAAAAAAAATCTTACAATTAAATTAACAACGTAAAGTATCACATTTGTATTTTCATTTTTGTTTCTATTTTTTCTTCTTTGTTTTTTTGTTTTCATGAACTCGCATTAGCATCGGATCCAATGACAAGACAATGTCCGTATCTTGGTCGTTACGAAATTGTTTCCGTGGTGCACTGGCACAGCGCCGACAACATCGAGGATACTCTCGGAGTGGATGGCGAGTTAAGCATCGCAAACGTCGTCGAAGTACAGGACGTTAGAGTGACGTCGACGCCGTTCCCAAGGCGATGCCATCATGAGAGAGTTCGTTGGTTGGACATTGGATGCAGGACACCCGATCGAATGGAGTTTGCGACCTCCTGCAGCGACGATGAAGCCCTATCTGGTAAGATCCTTTAGTATTCTATCCTTTGCATTAATCTTCGTTAGTGCAGTTTACACGAGTAATTAACTCGAAGATATTTTCTTAATGAAATATCCTCGAGTGGAACGATCAACATCTTCTATCTCTCTCTCTCTCTCTCTCTATATCTCATGATCATTTTCTACAGAAATTTCGATAACAAATATATTCCTCGTATTACTATTAACACAATTTTAATCTAATAGAGAATAATTGTTTCAATATCGTATGTTCATTTTTCGAATGTGTTTGCTTTGTATCAAATAATTATATATATTTGAAGTTAAAGAATTAATAAGGACCAATGTTACATATCGCAAACGATTAACATAGACAATAACGAAATTTACGATAGATACTTTTTCCGAAACAATTAATTCATATATAAAAATGTATATCGTCATTTAAAAATAATAAATTACTGTATTCTTATATGAATAATTGTTAAACAAAATCCTAGGATATGGTATGACTCAAGGAATCCTTTTTTTTCTTTTTTTCTTTATTTCTACTATAAACTTTTTCGTGTAAACTATAAACTTTTTTCTGTCTTGCATCCCATAAACTGTCTCAAATAATGAAATTAGAGATAATCGATGTACATTAATACAATTTAAAAGCTATAAGTACTACATACGAAAGCTTATAGATTAAAAAGTTGTCTGAATATTGTAAGCATTAGCAAGGCAAGTATTGAAAGGGGTATCGTGAAAAAAGATAGAGAAGGATGGGTGAATTAGGGAGGGGGGTTTAAGGAAGAAGAGAGATATTTCGACGTAGGATGTATGACGTTGAGTCTTTGAAATCGATGTAAACCCTCTCTCTCTCTCTCTCTCTCTCATCATCGAATCTTCTCTTTTCCTTTTTCTTTATACACTTTGCTCGTACTTGAACGAAGGTTGGATGGATCAGACACCGCAGGAGCTCGAGTGAGAAGGAAGAGTTCGACTATGACTGTGGAACACGTCCGCCAGGAACATCTTATCGGATTACTCGCTCCAGCTCACACCCCTTGTCCCGACCCGTTTCACCCTCAAGCATAACAACTCTCTTTCTCTCCTTCCCTCTCTCTCTCTCTCTCTCTCTAACTCTTTCTGTCTCTGTCTCTGACTCTCTCTTGACTCTTACTCCGAAGTAAAGTTATCGAGAAAGCAACGATAGTTAGTCGAAGGAAAAGCTCTGGCGTGACGGGTTCGCAAAGCTCTACGCGTCGGCGCGTTTCTCGCAAGAGAATTCTCGCTTTATTTAGTTGTAAGCACGTCGACGCGAACTCCAAAAGGGTAGGGTATTGGTCAATTAGTTTCGTTGCTTCGTTGTACGCGCTTTGAAGAAACAAAGGGAAGGAGAAGGAGAGAGATAGTGAGAGAGAGAGAGAGAATGAAACTCGACTTTGGAAGTCGACCTAATCAATTTTAATCATCGTGTTTATTACAATGATTATCACATTACATCGTCACCTTCCATTCCAACACGTTTAATATAACATTACATTTTTTCTTCTATATCAAAATATAGGATAAGATATTATATAAGATCTTGAAAAGAATCGATTATTAATATTTTTTCGTTTGATATTTATTTTCCTAATATTGTGTAATTTTCTTTTTCATTTGTATTATTATACTTATTATTAATCGTAATTATTGGTTTATTGAAATTAACTTTTCTTTTATGATGTTTTATATACATGTTAACGTGAAATATCGAAATTTAAGAATGTTAAGATTCACATGATTGCTTGTCAATACATATCAAATATGTTGATGGAAGATCGAATATTTAGATTTATTTTTATACATTAATATTTTTCGGACATAGACCAAACAATCATATGAATCTTTACATTATTGCAATTTTAGTCTTTCATGGTAATATACAATAATATATATAATACATATAGATACAAACAAAACCATTTTCATAAAATTTACCCGAATCGTTTTAACAATTCCCGTAGCTAGTTTACTTTATCAGATAGTCACGAGGAAGTTAGAGATGGAGTTTTTTTTTTTTTTTCCAACTTATACATCTTCATGATCCCTAGTATCATCGTAAATGCTCTTATCTTTATATTAAAGAGCAAAAAAAAGAAAGAAATAGATAGAGAAAGAGAAAGACAAAGAGAGATAAGGTAGGAGAGATGATAAATCGCGAAGATTGGTTTGTTAATATACAGCAGGTTTGTAGCATAACCTTTATCACGGTCCTACGCAATAATCCTTCGGGGTATTAATGCACTTGAGCCTTGAGACAGAAGACAAACCACGTTTCGCATCTGGATTCTAGAATTATTTTAACGGAACGAGATTTCTCTCTCTCTCTCTCTCTCTCTCTCTCTCTCTCTCGTTTATTTTCTCTTTCTCGATCGTATATAGTGAGCAAGTGAACGAGCGAATCGTAGAGCGTTGACAGAAGCAGGGATTTAGGCACTCGAGCCTCTCTCTCCTCGTGTCTCGCGTTTCGTAATTGAATGTGTATGTGTGTGCTCGACACAAGAACAACGAGAGGAACGAGTGGAAAGCAAAATGGCTGTTAAGACTTCGTACAAACAATTGATCTCTCTCTCTCTCTCTCTCTCTCTCTCTCTCTCTCTCTCTCTCTCTCACTATCTCTATTTCTAGATCACTATCGTTATCACTATATCTTTATCCTTCTCGCAGTTCATCACTCGCAGAATGCACGGTGTTCACGATTTATAAAGAATTGATATCTGTGACTGGTATTATATTATAATATATTATATTATATTATATTTTGTTTGATCGAGAGATTCAAGTATTGTATTTATTTTCGCGAAATAATTTTGATCCAGCGATATAATGCCATTATTAATTATTTCAATAATAATCGTAACGCCGCGTATATATTTGATCGAGTTGTCCGGTTTAAAAATTTCTTACCGAAGTTACACATCCCTAGTAACCACCCCAGCCCAGCCCACCCCAGCCCAACCTTCGGTTCTACTTTTCAATTACGACGAATTTTCTCGTTCATAAAAACGTCGAATACTTTTCTCGACCGTTCAACAAATATCGGCTTTGGCGAAAGTTGTTTCTTCGCAGCTTCCAACTCTGGATAAAATCGAATGTGGATTTCGATTCGATGAGAGCCGTGAAGTGAGAACTCTAGCTGCACATTTCTACCGATCTAAGTTTCTTACGGTTTTCCCAGTGAAAAGGGTAGATGTAGAAGAGAAAAAAAGAAGAGAAAGAAGAGAAAGAAGGAAAGAGAAATAAGGTGAACCGCGTTATTAGTTTCTCGAACGCTGCTGATACCGATTTTCTACGTTACACAAAGCCGAAAGAGTACTATATCGATAAGAAGAGAAGAATAAAAGTTAAGAAGAGAAAGAATGAAAGAAAGAAAGAAAGAAAGAAAGAAAGAAAGAAATCAAGAAAAAAAGAAAGGGATAGTAAGAGTTTCGATGAGCGCCGCTGTAAATTTTCCCTTCGTAGACTCTCAACTTCGATCAGGTGTACTCGCTCGAATTGTCGCAACCCATATCGAACGATTTACGACTTTGCTATCTTTTCGAGCCGTCGAATACGGGCAAACTGAATTGCTAGAATGTTTTACCTCTTGAATCGTATTTGAAATTCTCTAATTTATCATGTCTTGTTTTTTTTTTGTTTTTTTTTTTTAACGTTTTAACTACAAACAACAATGTATATCTTTTGTTTCTATCGGATCAGTCTAAATGATTAATTATTGATTAAATACGTTTATAAAGGAGAATTAAAATTTACTCATATACGTATTTTGTTTTAATGTTAATTCGAAATAAATAAAATATTGTTTAAATTTTATATTTATAAGAAAAAAAAATTATAATATTATAATAACAACTGAGACTCTCACTTTTATTATAATTATTCATTTGGAGTAATTCAACGAAACATGCTGAACATGTTCTATGTCACATTAATTTAAAGAGAATTTTCATTAAAGTCACGTGAATTGTATTATTATATATGCCCAATATATGAACAGTAAAAATTTCAATTGGCCTGAAGAAGAAATTTAGAATAAACCGGTTATTGCTTTTCGAAGATATCAAATTTTGATAAGTCTCATATTTTTATTTGATTTTCACAGAGTATCTGTGTCATGGAACTTGGATCGAAAACGACACGGCTTACTTGGTGGCGAGTACCGACGTTGGCCGTTATTGCCTCGTTTACAGTGCATCTGCTGCAACGACTGGAGATAGAGAACTTTCTGTAACGGGTCATCTTGCATCATGTCCGAGAGCTTCACATCGGCATCCTGTTTCTTGGCAAGTTAACCTCACTTCCTACGGTAAGCAATACAAAAATTTGATAAATAAAAGTTAACACGTTGACTGCCGACCCTTTTCACATGATTTTTCTGTCACACCTACAATTTTCTATTATGGGATGCATATTTTTTTTTAATTTTTTTTTACAACTCACGATAGTCAACGTGTTAAACGAAGGAAACTGACAAATTTGATGATATTTTTCTTTTATATTTTTGCTATTATTTTATTTTTGTATTTTCACTCGTTCATTTCCAAATAAGATTTTAATATCGTCGATCGAGTCTCATGGAAAGATTTTACATCGTCGTATCATTTGAATTTCAAACTTTCAAATCTTTTTTCATTTTTCCTTAAACATTTTTCCTCTCTCTCTCTCTACCTCTCTCTCTTTATTTCTCGGAAAATAATTCTGTTCGCAATGACGAAATCTACACCGCACGTATGCATATAATTTCAACGCGAATATTCGCGTGTTTGTACACAGCTTGATCTCGCTCAGTAAATTTATGGTCGTGCCACATCTTCATACGTTCATTCGTAGTTTCTGCATGGTATAAACGTTCTTGTGTCAACCAAAATAAAACAAGATATAAGTTAGAATACATACTTGTATTCTATACATTTTTATTTTATACATACATACATAGAATCATCTTTATATGAAAATTTGTACAATAATGTAAATAATATGTTAACGTTTAAACGTAACTACATTTATTGAGTATCATATTCGCTTTAGAGAAAATCGATTATTCAAAAAAAATGAATACATTACATATAAATATATACAGTATATGCATAGTATAGAAATAAAATATTTCTGGTCCGCGAATACATGAAATAAATAAATAAATAAATAAATAAATAAAGGAAGGAAGGAAGAAGAAGGAGAAGGCAATTGAAGTATTTTTCACGCGTTATATTTTATGACACGTATGTACATCATATGTATATGATTGTAACGAGAAAAGTTGTCGGTCCAATAATTTTCCGAACATGTATTCATACTCTCCATCAGGATTTTGCAACGATCCGTCCATTCAAAATTGATTTATCCGTTGCGTTAGTTAGCTATGTTGTTGCTTGTTCATAAAGCGAACATTTACAACAGACACACGTATTGTATGCGTTTAAAAATAAAAAATGTATATATATATATATATGTATATATGTATATAGTAGATAGATATTTGGTGAGTGTGATCTATTGCTAGTGATAGATACAATATATGCAATATACAATAGATACATATTTGTTCCTGTTGTTTGCAGTTCAATGCGGCGACATCTCGTCGGCGTCGTCGTGGAGGTCACACGTGTCCTCTACCGTGGTCATCATCGTCCTCAGCAGCATCCTCTTTGGTAGATATATCGCGAGGTGATGCCACTGAACCTTGAAGCGCCATTCGCGAGTGGCTGTATAGTTTTTAAAAAGAAAGAAAATCTTTTTTCGATGGACGATGCGACGAATATTACAAACTAATGAATGAAAAAAGAGAAAGAGTCATGGGATAGAAAGATAGTAAAAGAAAGAAGAAGAAGAAGAAGAAAAAAAAAACAGATAATTAAATATTATTACTATTATTATTATTATTATTATTATTATTATTATTATTATTATTATGATTAACTCGCGAGAGAGATAAAACGAAAGGGAGAAAGTATATGTAATAATTATTTTTTGTAGGAATTAAGGGATAATAGCACTTTGTGCATCGTAAAAAGATATTTGAAAGAAAAAAAACTATGATAAGGATGATGAAAAAAGAAATAACAAAATTAAATACGATGAAAAGTAAAGGAAAAAAAAAACCGTGTGACGAAAGTGGATGCAATATGCATAATTATGCTGTGTATGCATAATTAATTAATTACTTAATTAATTAATTAATTAATTAATTTATTTATTTATTTATTTATTTATTTATTTATTTATTTATTTATTTATTTATATTCATCGATAAATAACGTCGCTATTAACATTTAACATTACTACTTATCAATAATACCATTATTGCTATTACTTACGATTAAATATTTAACATCGCTACGAATGTGGCAGATCGCAAAAAGACAATGCAGCACCGGCCTTTTTTAGCTGGAAAATTCAATCGAATAACGAAAAAAACGTTCATCCAACGAGGAAAAGTTAAAACAATCTATTCCTCCTTTCTTCTTTCTTTTTTATCTCTTTTTGGTTTTAATTTGTTTACTTTTATCTTATTTCATTTGATTTTCTCTCTCTCTCTCTCTCTCTCTCTCTCTCTGTTTCTCTCTCTCTTTCTCTCTCTCTCTCTCTGCGGTAATGTGCAAAAGAAAAAATTCGATATCTGCCGTACGTTCGATTTCGTTATAAAAAGAAAATAATTAGTTATATCTAATGCGATCATGGGCTATTATCGATTGGTATCGTAAACTATTCAATAGAACGGTGATTCTAACGTTTGCATTATTGATAAATCGAAGTAAAACGATGTGAAATAAGTAAAAAAGTAAATAGGATCCGGTAATAATAACGAAAGTAAATGAAAAATATATTATACATGCTAGTTTGTTCGAGTCTTACGATGAATTATTTATTACAATAAATATATACATACTTAACTAAACAAAAAATAAATAATAAACGTGTATGCATAGATATATTACGAGAGCGATAAGAGGCAGGAGAAAGAAAAAAAAAAAAAAAGAAACATTAAGATAAAAATAAAAGTAAAAAAGACGAATCGGGCAAGATCGAGAGACTTTGGTGTGATTTTATTTTGCTCTTGCTTGGCGTAGAAAAAGAATGTGTGTGAGAAAAAGAAAGAGAGAGAGAGAGAGTGAGTGAGTGAGTGAGTGAGTGAGTTAGTGTGTGTAAGGTGTAGGATGGTAAATTCGATTCTGGTTTACTCCCAGTTCACTTCGATTTCACTCCCATCGGTAACACGGTCATATATTCCGTGCTCATACCTTCGTTGGAAATCTGATTTTTTCGCTAGGTTACGATTTGCTTTTACTCCCATAGTGGTAACTTGCCCGAGTAACTTCCCTTCCGTAATTTCGTAGCAATTTCGATTCGACGTAAAACACACATTATATTTGTGTGCCACAACCCGTGCCACCTATATTTTATTTTTATTTTCCAAATAATACATGGATGACCGTTGGCCGTTTCTTTCAAAAAACGCGTTATAATAATAATTTTTTTACACGCAGAGCTCAAAATTCACATTCAGTAATAAAGTAAAATAATAATAAGAAAATAAAATAGACAATTGAAGAATGTTCACAAAATCGAACGTCGAATATCATCAGAAATCTATGTATTCGTATTGTTATGTATTACATATGTGTATGGAAATATTTACTATATTTTTCTTCTCAGATTAGCCCCCACCCCCACCCCACCCCCGGCAACCCTTTTAATCGATCGATTTCCTCTATAAGAGATTATTTGGCAAGGATCCTTCGGTTCTTCCCTTCTTTTCTTTTTTTTTTCCGATGAACATTAATTATGATTTCTATTATAAAATTGCGCCAGATTCAAAAATATTCACATATTCTGATTAAAAAAATATTTTCTATTCATGTAGAGAAAGAAAGAAAGAAAGAAAGAAAGAATAAAGAGAGAAAGAGAGAGAGAGAAAGAGATAGAAAGAATGAATTGAGAGTATCGTGTTGAACGAACAGAATGTTATATAAAATGATGTATTATAAAAACAAGGGTGCTGGGGCCAATATTACGTGAATGCGATGATAGTCGACCGAGAGAAGTGAGAAAAAGTGAGAAAAAGCGGAAGAAAGAAAAAAAAGAGAGAGAGAAAGAGAAGGAATGTGTGAGAGAGATGGAAGAACAGAACTTGCACGCGTGTGTGTACGTGTGCGAGTATGAAAGAGAGATGGAATGAAAGAGATTATACGATAAAACGATGAACGCGAATAGAAAATTTATAATACATATTAAGGTTATCATGTAATAATACTTTACTCTCTCTCTGCCACATTCGCAATTTCGAGTGACGACGAAGGATGCGTCGGCCTTGAAATAAAAAAAAAAAGAAAAAGAGATGGGAAAAGAAGTAAAATAATTAACGAATTCGAGTGTACTTAATCCGCGCGTTTCAATTTAAATTTTTTGTGAGTATATATTGTAAAATATAAAAAAAAAAAAAAGAATAGAAAAAAATGAGAGCAAAAAAGGGATAAATAACAAAGATAAAAGAGGAAATCGATCTTCGTTCATTTGTTTCTTTCCTTTAGTTTCATTTTCGCGAATTTCAATTTTCATTATCATCGATTTTAATTAATGAGAGATGTTTATTTGGAAACAAGGTAATAATAATAATAATAATAATAATAAAATATAATTATTATTATTATTATTATTATAATTGTGCTATTGTCATTTTGATCAAACTAAAGTGGAGGATCTTTACTAAACATACGTATTTCTTCTTTGCATTAAAACGATCAAGCGGTTTTAAAGATATAAATATATACATACATATACATAAATATATAAATATATAAATATTATATTATATAATAACGTGTATAAAAATTATTTTAGATTATAAGCTATCTGTAAAAATTAAGAATGCACCTTTCTGTATAAATAATAAATAAAAATAAAAAAAAAAGATAAAAAATAAAAAAACAAACGAATCCGCTAAACACTCGATCGTACGGTATTATATTATAAATATAATATATATATTAATAATAAGTATATTGATATATACCTATATAGCACGGCCAATAAGATTTAAAAAAATAAGAAAAATGATAAAATTTTCTAATCGTTTTTCGAATTACGACGACGACGATGACGACAACAACGGTAACGGTGTGGACGATACTCGTCTCGATCGTCCACCATGAATCTCGACTTATGAAGACAATTTGCAAAAAGAAAAAAAGCGACATATCTATAATATACGGTATGTAAAACGTAACGAGAAATCGAAAGAGATTAAAAAAAAAGACGATCGTTCTTCTTCTATAATAAGAAGAAAACTAGTTGCCGATTTGTAAAAAGAAAAAGAAAGAATAAAAAAAAAAAATCCAAGAAGCAAAACTAAAGAATACACGGGTGGGTGTGTGTGTGTGTGTATGTATGTGTATGTATGTATTGTGTGTATAAAAAAGAAAAAAAAATAATAAATAACAAATTTAAATATTTGCGAAACCACGATTAAATATTAGAATACTATATGCATATTTTTAAGTGCAATCAGTTTAATTAAAAACTTTAATAAATATAATAAATCATCGATTGCACGTAAAAAGTAAAAAAGTAAAAAGAAAAGAACAAAAAAAAAAAAGAAGTAAACAATTTTAAACGATCTTTAATATCGATCGAATAACATAAAAAAAATAACGAGTCGTCCGGTGCGAAGAAAATAAACGTTCAAGTGACGGATTTTCTTCCGAAATCTTTCGTTTTAAAATTAATAAACTCGATTTTCGTTTATCTCGCGAATCGAAAAATATTTGATTTGATATGTAAATAAAATAGATGTAGTTAAAAAAGTGATCGAGTAGAAACGGAGAACAACAATATGTTTTCGAAGCGTACGTTGATCGTAGCACGGTCATGTTATACTAATCATTCCTGTATAAAGAAAAGAGAAAGAAGATAAAGCAAGATGAAAAATGAAAATAGAGAGAGAGAAAGAAACTCGATTTTATATAGGAATTATAAAAGAAAGAAAGAAAGAGAAAGAAAGAGAGAGAGAGAGAGAGAGAGAGAGAGAGAGAGAGAGAGAGAGAAAAGAAAGAATGTAGATTTCAGGGTATTTATATCGAGGGTTACATAGTTATATAGATATACACATGAATATTCGAATTATAAAATATATTATAAAAAAGAATATATATATATATAAATATATATATATTATATAGTATACTATATGTATATATACTATGTTTTTATTGTTGTAAAGTTAGAAAAGTAAGAGGACGACCGAATAAGTCGTCAATGAAAGATAAACTTTGAAAAGCATCGAAGAATTAAGAAAAAAAAATCATATGATTCGCATTGTAATAGCACGATCGCACATAAATAAAATCCATTCGTAATATTAAACTTATCACGGAAAAATTATATTATTACATTTAATTTTTTATAGCTTTTATTTTTTTTTCAATTGACTTTACTTATAATTACAATTGTAAATATTATTTTGTTAATATCTAAAAATAATTGTTATTTATTCAAGCCAATACAAAATTGATTATCATCTGTACACACACACACACACACACACACATTGAATGTGAAAATAATTATTTAAATAAATAGAAATTAATTGTCGATAAGTTTAGAGTGTTAAAATGTTTGTAATCGCGTTACAACACCGGATGTATTTAATTTTGGCAAAAAAAAAAGAAAAGGAAATCCTTAAGGGAGGAAAAAGAAAAGTGAAAGACGAATTCTTTTAAAAATACTTACGTTCGACTTAAATAAAAAATGAACTAGAATAGCGTGTAAAATTGTAATATGCGAATCATCGCTCGCTTTAAAAGGTACATAACTAACAATAAGTACTAAGAGCACATGGCTTTCTTAGCGAGATAATATTCATCAATGCACGTTTACTTGGCTCTTTTAAAAAACACGATTGCTATCATGAGTCTGTCTTCTATTTATTTTGTTACTTAACCTACGTCAGAGTTAATACATTGCGTGAATGTTGTAAAAGGCTACACGATCGTTTATCGGCAAAGAGAAATTTCAAATGGTAAAGTAGAGGGGAAAAAAAAAAAGTAAATCAATATTCCTTATCTTTTGCAAACTCACAATCTAGCTTTAATAATTTGCTTCCAAAAAAAAAAAGAAAAGAAAAGAAATAAAAGAAAAAGAGAGAGAGAGAGAGAGAGAGAGAGAGAGAGAAGAAAAAAAGAAACGAAGAGAAAGAAATTAGAATACGAAAAACTAATGCAATGATATTCCTAATTTTGAAAATTACCGTGAATGTGTAATTTCATTATCCTGCTCGTCGTTTCGCGTTAAAATCTAATGTCGGAACATACACATGCATATAAATAAATATATATATATACATACACACACACACATTCACGCACGACTGGCTGTAGAACGTGACACAACGATTATTACCGTCTTTTAGTCTTATTATAGTAAAAGAAAGAAAGGAAGAAAAAATAATGCGAAAGGTATGGAGTATGGTCGGTTATCTTTAACGATTTTATACATGAGTATAAAGAGTATGTCAGGTTCAACGATATGAGTGAAAAGTAAATAAAACATTTCATTGTGATCGTGAAAAGGTACGAATGGATGATTTCTCTTCAATGAATACATTTTTTACCGAAAAGTTATTATATCAGCTTTATCTCGTGAACAAACTTCACGCAGACTATATTAAAGTAAATAGAAAAGTGTGCGTGTGCGTGTTTGTGTTCGTGTATGTATATGGGTACGTTCGAGAGAAAGCAAGAATGCGTGTTTATGAAAGAAAGAGAAATGAATGTTGAGAAAAACCTGTACGTGTTTTACGTAATATCGGTAAGATGAAAGATTAAGATTAATGAAGAAATGGTGAGAAGATTAGAACAAAATTCGTACAAGTTTTCTGCACCGTCAGACTCGATTAAAAAAGGTACTATTATACTAAAAAGAAAAGAGAAGACACAAAAGAAAAAAAAAAAAAAATAAACAACAAGAACAAAAAAATCCACGCTTAAAAGCCACCAAAAAATCTATACATACTAAATGTTTTACTATCGGATTAAAATATTACGATAATACTTATTAATGTAAATGGTTTTTCATTATTATATATATTATAGATGTTACTCAATAATATATTTACAAATAATATTAAGACAAAGTAATCGTTTTATTTCATCCTATCTGGATTAATTTTGTGATCCACATCTCTTTTTCTTTTTTTTCTTTTTCAAATATATCATCTTTGGAGTAAGGAAGGAAGTAATGTGATTTAATAAAGAAATAGAGTTAGAGAAATAAAAGAAAAGACCCATAGAAAAAGCAAGTTTCGACAATAAATATGTTTTTATTACACATATATTTCGTACGAGGGTTACATGATATTAATACATGTTCATTTAACTGTCCAGCAATCAAACACGTTGTATTTTTAATTTTCTCTTGTCACCGTGATTATCATTATCATTATCATTATCATTATCATTATCATTATCATCTTCATCATCATCATCTAAGATCATCATCATCAACATCATCATCATCTTCATCATCGCTGTGTTTACTATCGTTCCTCAGGAAGTTATCGGTAATTGTCACACTTTGTAAAACATTGTCATTACTCTAAAGTAGTCTCGAATCACCCGAAGAAATGAAATAATAAAACGTCGCGCTTTTCAATGCTTTTTAAAAGGGGCATTTTTGGTTGTATCCTTATTTGTTGTTTAATATATTTCCCTTTTTATTTTTAATACTGTTCGTACCCTTTTTTTTTTTACATTCGTAATGAACAATTGATAAAACGATTATGAGAGTTTGGAAGTTTGGGTGCGTAATAAATTGTACCTGCGCATTAACGATATTGTTTCCATTATATTATCATTAAAATTATCTCTTAAACGTATCCCACGATAACTAATTTAACACGTCATCTTAGACACATCGGACGATTCATTTTAAATTTTACTACTAACTTCCAGTTGTTATCTCTTTCTCTTCGATCTCCCATCATTTCACGAAGACAACGAGGTTAATTACCTTTTATTTTTTTATTTTTTATTCTATTTTTTACTTTCTTTTCTCCCCCTTCATACTATATTCTTTTTTATTATTTGGTTTTCTGACCTCAGTGTTCTTTTGTGTTAATAGATAATTATTAATTTTTATCATAACCTCGTAGCTCTTATACCCTAAGAAACTTCGTTAAGTTGATTTTTCCTTCAGCTTACAATCTAATCGTGTACTTCGTAAACCTTATAATTACATTTTTAATAATCTAAGCTTGGTGGCCAGCACCAAAACACTCACTAAATCACTGTCTACGGACACAGATACAGATTTTTTTCGTTCTCGATAGTTGATACGATTACGTGGACCAAAAAGAGATACCACACACACACACGCACACACGCGCGCGCACACACACACACGCAAACGTACACGCACGCACACATGAGTCTCCTTTTCAAATTCTTTTTCGCTTTTTTTTTTGTTTATTTTTTTGATAAGTTTTTTTCATCTTCGATCATCAACAATCATTATCATCATTATAATCCTTTACGCGTTTCACGCACGACAGGTAGAGGAACTTACTTTCTATTAAATGTGTATAAGACGTTTTCTTTTTTCTTTTCTTTTTTTTTTTTTGTTCTTCCTTCTTTCAAGATTGATTTTACTACTACGATATATATAATACAATGATCGTTCGTATGAGCCTGGATTATTATTTTGAGTTTTTTCCATATTCTTTTATCTATTATATAGTAAATCCTTAACTTTATAATGACTAACTTCGAATGACTATTATTAATCGAAGCGAATTATACGAACGATTTTTTTTCAAAGAAAATAATACGATTTTGAAGGATCAACGCGCTTTTACATTGAAAAAATACTAAACGATCGACGTTCAGAAGATCATGAATTTTGTCTTCCTTCCCTTTTCTGTCTCCATATGAATCAAACGTCGAACATAGGACTAGACTTTGAAATCAGATCTGTATATGTATATGTATATATATATATATATATCATATATATATGTGTCACGCGAAGATCGTCTCGAACGTCGAACGTGAACAACCCACAATCAGAGAAAGTTCGATTGGATTCACAGAGACATTAAAGCGAAGTTGTCTATTTTATTCTTTTTTTTTTTTTCCTTTTTTTTTTTTATTCTTTTCTTTTTTTTTTAAACTGTTTTTCCATTTTTTTCCCCTTATAATCTGCTGGTGATATTTTTGTTCGCCATAACAATACATAGATCTGCGGCGGCGGCGGTGGAGGTGGCGGCAATGGCGGCGGCGGCGGGGGAGAAGGGGGGGCGTTTATGTTTTATAAACACGTTTTACATGTCCTTTCCCACCATTATAATTTTCTATCAATCTCTACAAGCCAGGAGAGAAAATACGGTTCGTGGCGTGGCGTGAAACGTATCGGTAATAATAATGGCGCTCGACGTCTTACTCGATGATGATCGACCTTTCTGTTTTTTTTTTCTTATTTAATTATTTATTTATTTATTTATTTTCAACACAGTCACTAATATTACTCTTTGGTTAGAAAGAATTTTACTTCTCTTTTTAAGACTCTGCGCGCGTTATGGTCGCGCGTCTTCGTCAATTTTAATTACAATTTTTATTTAGCGTATTTTATTTATTAGAATGCATGATTACTCGTGTGATATTTGATGTCTCTCTCTCTACACGCGTTTACATAATTTTCTTTTTTTTTTTTTTTTTTTTTTTTTTTTTTTTTTTTTTTTTTTTTTTTCTTTTTTGTTATTATTATTATTTTTTCGTATAATATGTGTTGGTGTATATATATTTATATACGGTCTGTGTCTCTCGTCCTGTGTAAGAAATAGCGCGCAAGTGTACAAAAGAGCGTATATGTATATATTATGTATTTTTTTTTTTTTATGTATGTGTGTCATGTCACGCGTTCTCAAATGTTATTTTCATTTTTTTCTTTCTTTTTTTTGATTCGCAAGAAGAAAGCATTTTTTGTTGTTGTTTCTCTTATGTGTTTTCTTTTTTTCCTCGTCGCGAGTTCGAATGTGAATCAATTTTAAATACAAACCTAAAAAGTCCAGCTCTTTTAAAACATAGTTTTTATTTATAACAACATTTTTTTCTCGTCCACATAGTCTTTTTTTCCCCCCCCCCTTTCTTTCGTCTTTTCCACATTTCTGTCTGTCTGTCTCTCTGTCTCTCTGTCTGTCTCTCTCTTTCTTTCCTTTTTTTATTTATTATTTTGTTAAATTCATTTATCAATATGAGCTGTCCATTCTTCGTTTTACGACGTGGCTGTTCTGCTTTTATACGAAGAAATTTACGATTCGTGTGCAACCAATAACTAGTTATGGCAAAATCTTTACATTTATTTAAGATAAATATTATTATTAATTATTTTCACGTTGAAATAACCAAAGATGAAAAAAAAAATATAAAGATTTTTATATCGCATTAGATAATATTTCGTGCACGTAACGAATTTTTAAATAAATACCGCTCTCGTTTTGCGATTTTTCCAAATGTGGTGGTCCATTTTATCATTTCACTTTTTGTTTATTATTATTATCATTATTATTATTAGTATTATTATTATCATTATTATTATTATTATTTTTTTTTTTTTATTATTATTATTAACTTTTTCGTGTGCGCTACAATAAAAGTGTGCACCGAGCAATGGTTCTTTCCTTTTTTATGGTTCATTAATACTTTTTTTTCTTTCTCTTATTTTGTACTTTGAGTTCCAACACTATTGCATTTTTGGATGTATTTGTTTTTTTTCTTTTTCTTTCTCGATGATCACATCTAAACAAACCCTTTCGTGGAAAAGCTTTGCAATTTGTTTCGATCGTATTAGACAGAGAGAAAGAGATGATATATATATATATATATGTATATTATATAGATAAATATACGAATACAATATTAATCGAGCCCGCGAAATCCAACTCGAGTCAATCGGAATAAAATCGTACACCATTATTGTACCATTCAATATTTTGATATGTCGTTGAGGATCCTGTGCGATTTTTTGTCTGCATCTTATACCCAAGCGAAGTTTTAGTGCCCTTGGTTTATGCATAGCACGTAGCAAGTATAAACTCCTTTTCTAACTTCATCATTATCATCATCATCATCATTTTATTCTTCTTCTTATTCTTCTTTCCTTATCCTCATCATTATCATTTTCTTCTTCTTCTTCTTTTTCTTCTTCTTCGAGAGCATCGACCGATTGTCGACCAATTGTGAAAAACAAAATCTCGCTTAATTTGCGCAGGTACATTATGAAAGAGATTCATCTCCTCTATTTATTATTACTTTAACTTCAATAGGGATAGAGATAGGAATAGATAGATAGATAGAGATTGATAGATAGATAGATAGGTAAATAGATAGATAGGGCAAGATGCAAAAACGTTGCTTTACAAAATAATATTTCCTCGGTACGATCGAGACCGATGGGAAACAACAACGAAATGATAAAAAGGCAAAGAAGTAAGTAAACAAAAAAAAAAAATAAGATAATAGAGTTATACGACGAGGAGGACGAGGACGATGACGACAACGACGAGGATAAAATATTCTTCGCATGTGATGCGACAATACTGTATAATCACTCGTATAGGACAAGTCGTTTCTCGTATTCCTTCGAACGCTGCGCGTTTCGGACCAGCCGCCAACGCGTTTCCGTTGATCGAAGATCGTTCTTCTTCTTCTTCTTCTTCTTCTTCCTCTTCTTCTTCATCTTCATCTTCTTCTTTATCTTTTTCTTCCATTTTAGTCCAGCCCAAAAAGAAAAGTCACGAACGATCCGTAACTTTCGCGTACGAGAGACAGGGAAATAGAGAAAGAGAAAGACAGGAGGAGTAAGAAAGAGAGAGGAGAGAGAGAGAGAGAGAGCATTTCGCTTTTTTTAGGATGATGTGTCAATAAGGAGCTATCATCTTCACGTTATATTAAGTCTTTGAGCGACGATAGACAACGGCGGTGATGTGTTGGTGGTGGTGGTGATGGTGGTGGTGGTAGTGGTATTGGTAGTGGTGGTGCTTCTGCTGTTGTTGCTATTGCTTTTTCCAGTGTTGGTGACAACGACAAGAAAAAAACAATGGACGAGCAACGAGAGGGGAGAGTGCTGGTTATTTTTTCTGTTTTTTTTTTTTTATTTTTCTTTTTCTTTTTTTATTATATTACTCTTCTTTCTTGCCTTTTCTCCCCCCCCAGCCCCTCCTCCCCCCTCCTTTCAGTACCAAGAAATTTGGCATTTCGCAGTCTTGGCCAAGCATCATCTTTGGTCGCAAATGACTAAGCCTAGCCCTATGTTATCAGTCTGGGCAGCTTGAAGCGTACTTAGAATTCCAAGTACACAAGGATGATGATCCTTAATCGTCGCTTTTCACAGCAGAGCAACACCGCGACCTGAAGCCAACGCGGATCCTGCTCGTGCTCGTGTCACTGACGCACGCGCCACCAAGTCTGCTGAACCTTCTCGTGGAGTTTCTTGCAGATACCGGCGAGCCTCCGTCACATTCCAGCATCCGCTGCGTTATCATCGTTATCACCGCCCGCGTCCCCACATGAAAATGTTGTTTCACCACCACCGCCACCGTCACCGCCGCCGCCGCCGACATCATTACCACCATCATCACCGTCATTACTTTCCAACGCTTCTCCGCTCTCGTCACCTTCTTCCAAAGTCATTTGAAAATGTTTCTTATCTTGATCGTTTCCACTTTGCTGTTGCTGTTGTTGTTGTTGTTGATCGTCGGACGGCGGTGAGGGTGGAATCATTGACTGATACCAATCTCTGTTCTCCTCCAATGTATCCAAAATTTCCTGAGCATCAGGATGCACCAAATCCGCCCAGGTTTCCCAAAGAGGATGCACGATATAATCGATGAAGCCTACCTGCGACTTTTCGATTGTTGCGCTATGCCTATCGCACATCGGACTGATGTCCATGTTCTGTTCACGTTCTCGATCACCCTGCAGGAAGAATTCCTCCATCAACAGGCTCACCCATCGTCGATAAAGTGGCAATGGTTTAGTTGGATTCGATAGGTCCGCACAATGAACGAGATTTTCCAAGACTTGTATGCGATCCGTATAATTGTCTAACAGTAATACTCCAGAACCAGCGACTTTCTTCGTTTCCACCATCGTCTTTAAATCGGCCAACAGGGACATGTGTTTCGACATGTCCGTCGAGAGAACCATGTCGATTACCATCTTCCTCAATGTTTGCCTTTGCTTTTTCGTCATGTTAACGAAAATGTCGCAACCTTCGTTCTGCAGAAGCTTGAACGCAACCGCAAGGTGGTGATTCTCTAATACGGATTCATCGTTGTACATCAAAGCGAGCTCAGAACCTATAATTTACAAAATTCATTATTACGTTACAGTCGTAATTTAAAATTTCTATCGATAATATCTAAATTGTCATAACTTACTCGAATTGATAAGGAACTGATTCGTTAGCCCGGGATGATCAACATCATGGATTGTGGCCGCAAACAGAGCCGCTGTAATCTCCAACGGCGTAAACACAGACTGCAAATATTCATTGGAAAATGTATTATAACCTGTTATATAATTTCTAATCATTTTGTTAATTAAAACATCAAATATGAATTTTAGTTACCTCGAGGGCGGGTGTGTTGAGTAGTGTGTGGGTGGATTGGGTCACATCGGCGGCATGAAGACTGTTGTGGAAGGGGTTATCCTTGACATAATGATCCTCGAGAGTCATCATGAAGGTAACGAAGATTTTCGGCGGTATCGCCAACGATTTCAATAAATCTCGACTTTGGAAGGCCGTATACGCGACGCAGGTTAGAGGTCGATTATTACTGAGCTCGCCTATCCTGAAGATATCGATACCCCATTTATCGATGTCCGACAATAACTGAAAATAATAATATTAAGAGATATTTATTAAAAATATTCAATAAGAAATATATTTTTTAGATTGTATACGCGCGTATTAAACATTTATTTCGGAAAAAAAATATGAATTTATTTCTATATAATATAATAAAATGAAGATCGATCGTTAAAAAAGTATTAACAAGAATATGTATTTTTCGAATATCTATTTTTGTTGTTGTATTATTCAACGAAGCGAACAAATGATAAGACGTTCGATCGATCCCAAAAGGCATAGAACACCAAATAAAGTCGTCGAGAAAAAGACTACAGCGGTTTTGTCGGTACGAATCATTGTCAAGTGGGTGTTAATCCGAGTTGTTTTCTCGCTTGGATAAATCGGACCAGTCCTTTTTAAAGGAAATATAATCTGAACATTATAAGATTTCTTCTAAGAAGAATCCTCCGCGTCATTATGGAAGGCGCACTCGATTAGCATAACGCGTGCAAGGAAATAAACATTATTTTCATCTCGAGAGAAAAGATCGATCGGTTCTATCTATGGTGCAAATAAATTTACGAGTTATCATTCTTCGATTGAGACAACAAAATATTGATAAAATTTATAAAGAGTAACGAAGGAAAAAAGAAACAAAATAAAAAAAAAAAGCAATGACTCATACGAATTACTTATTTTCATTTTTAACGTGATTTTTTCTTACATTTTCGTTTTTCTTTTTTATGTGTAACTATTATTCGAGTTATCGGTTAGGGTTTGCTCGACTTCGTTCCAAATGATTTTGCAAATTCATATCTATAAACTAACCGCGACACGACCTATTGCGGGGCCAATGCAAACATTTCGTTTCTCTAAATTCCTATTATCGCATGTGCCGGCTGTCACGTACGTATTTTCTCACCTTTCCCCTCTCACATAGATAGACTGCTATCGAACTCGATACCGCCTACTATACTTTTATTACTTATGACTAATAACAATAACTTTGCATTCTTCCTTCACTTAAAGTGAAAACGAAGAATATATTTACGTGGGGACAATTTTTCCATAAAAAGATTTTATCTGATTATCCTCTCGGTCGTGAAAGAAAACAAATAACAAAAAAAAAAAAAAACCAAAAAATAAAGAAGAAGAATAAGAAAAAAAAGAAAACATACGATTTGCTAATCTCACTAATCTGATAGACCTTGTCGCGTAGCACGCGATTCACCTTTCCCCCCTTTCCCGAACCCCTCTTCGTCGTGCTTGTAATTCTTTAGTAAAACGGAAACACGTTGTAAATATTTGTACACACAAATCGCACGTGTCATTGCAATGTTTTAAAATGAATTCGTAATGTTATCTCCTATAATCTTTCGCGTTTCTCCATAGTCTCTTTCGAATAACCAAAGTGACGATTTTCGAGAGAATAACAAGAAATATATAAAGAGAAGTTGTTGTTTTTATTTTAGGAATAAGAAAAAAACCAATCCGCGCAGCTGGCTATCCGAATCGAATTTGCTTGCGTCGAAATTCCCGGAAAAATCGTCGAGATCGAAAAATAACTATAAACGAAGTTAACCAAAAGAGAAAAAAAAGAAAAAAACAAATAGGAAGTTGTATGCTATGATATTCTACTAGAAACAAACGATCGTTTATTTGTATAACGTTCTACTCTTTTTTTCTTTATTTTTTTTTAAGATAATAATTAAAACTACATTGTAGTAATCGTGAAAAGTATTTTTTCATTTTCTAAGTATTAATATTTATTTTTACGTTAAAAAATATATCAGAATATGTACTTATAAACGTTAATTATAAACGCATGAATGTTTCAATTAATTAAACACACAACAATCTATATGCATATTTAGTATTATATTCGAGTTTTGTTATTTTTTTGATAAAATCTATGTTTATGTCAATTAAAAACGATTTCTATTTAATAGAATAAACGTTTCTATGATTATTACAACTTCGCTCAATAGGATTAATATAGGATTAGTGAAAAGCGATGAAATCTATTTATGAATGAATGAAAGCTGATCATGATCAGGGATTTACTTCGATTGCGTGGGTTTCGAACGGATAACTGAATTCATAGAATGAATATAATAAATATATATATATATATATATATATATATATATATATATGTCCTTATGTAGATGCATATTATATAAATAGATATTTCGATTGAAATTAAATGGAAGATAATTATTAATAATATGTCGTCCTTTTTTTTTTATGTAAAATTTTAATGAATAAAAGAATTATCGTATTATATTTAATTGAGTTAATGTAATAATTGATTCGTAAAAATAAAATTAAAATTAAAAAATGATAAATAAAATTATTAATAAATAAACAAACCTTGCCAAGTCCCTCCTCGTATGGGGTCTCCACTCCATGAGGGGGTACTCGTTCTCCCGTAAAGCTGTTTGTGTGCGTAAGTGGCCTTTTAACGCCACTAATATGCGACATAGAAGCTGGACCTCTCTGTACTCTGTCTTTCTTTTTGGCAGCACGTGCGTCCACACTTCCGGCCGCTGCAACCGCATCTTCGATCCGCAAAGATGGCAAATCGAGTTCCTGCTGTTTGTCTAAAAAATTCATTAAAATCATTCTCATCATTTGTTAACATATATTGCAAAATATATTGCAAAAATAAATGCTTTTCGTGAAATTCATCATCATCATATATATAATATATATTATCATATTTGTTAATTTATTTTTTAATATAAAATACTTCAATTAAAGAGAAAACAAAGAACTACTTAAAGATTTCTCTGTCTTATTTTGTGATCTTATCTTTGTTGTTGTTCTTATCGACTCTATCATACATAAGTATACCTATCTATAAATAAAAACGTCTTCTATCTGTCGTCTTTATTATATCTTTTCATTTCTACGATAACGGCCGAATTATGTGAGCAAGAAAAAAAAAAGAAAAAGGAAAAAATTAGTATTTGTAATAAGATAAGAGAGTATAGGAAATCGGAAAAGCTTCGTTAGATCCGATTAATCTGGTTATACTTTTCAAATTGTCATGCAAAAAAAAAAAAGTAGATCGCGAAGTATTTGGATCGAGTGCGTAAGAGGAAGGAGATTTTAATCGTGTGTGTCGCTATATAAATCGCAATTTCAAGGGCTCTCAATGCGTCAAAAGAGTGAAAAAAAAAAAAAAGACAGAGAAAGAAAAGAAGAAAGAGATATAGATCGTTTGCTTTTGACGTCTTCGTTTAAACTCGGATTCCACGACCTCGACTATCCCCCTCTTTCTTTTCATTTTCTCACTCACTCTCTCTCTTTCTCTCTTTTTCTCTCATTGTCAGTTCTATTAAAAGTAGAGGGAAAGGATTCAAAACATGTGAATTCGTAAATGATGATGATACTGATCAAATTTAGTTGGAAAAAAGATAATAACGAATGATAGAACGTTTATGATACAATTGAATAATAATTCAAAAACATTTTCTATTAGAATTACTTACCAAGGAAAGTGTTACAGATATATTCAGATATTTGATTCCCGGATTTGGACGATTCCGAAAAATGGAGGAGTTCCTTGTTCAGCATTCTCTTGAACTATAATTAGAAAAAAATAGGAATAGGTAATTGGTAATCGAGCATCATTAAAAATATTGTGTGATTTGTAATCGTGTATAGAATTGTTCCTTTCTTTGATTTATTTAAGACAAAAAATTCTTTTAATAAAACAATTTTATTTCAAATATTCGATATAAATAAGATCTCTATTATTATAAAAGATTTCTGCTAATTTAAAATCATATATTTTGATTTTACCTATTATCATATTATAGAGATTTTATCTCTACAATAACATACATAATTATATATATAAAAAAAAAGAATATCATTGAAAAGAAAGCATAAGAGAAAGAAAAAAATCCCCCAAAAATGTGGTAAATTCGTTGACAGGAATGATTTAAGATACTCAAAGTTATCAGAACAATTTCAACGTTTCGTTTGCGAGGACCAAAAAACCAACTTTGGTTTAGTTTTCGATTGGCAAAGAAGACACACAACATTATCTTGTTGGTGAATTTACGATATTTACATTGAAATCGCGTTGTTTTGCATTTCATATGTATAAACCTGCACACGTGTTATACGTATAGAAAGAAAAAAAGGAAAAAGATAAAGAAAAAGGAATCAACGAAAGTATACGAAAGAATGTTTAAAAAAAAGAAAAAGAAATAGAAAGTACTTATTGTTAAAGCCCGGAAGCTCCTTATCGAATTTCTTATCCGATCTACCATTTTATTCTTTCAAACAAAATTTAATTAAATCGTTCATTATAAAATATAATGTATTTATAAATAGAATTTTTCTTTCATACTCTTTTGGGAGTAACGACCTGCATTATATATCAAATCGGTTACACACACTTATTAATACCTCGATCGTGTAATCAAATAATCTTTCCCATCACACCATATTATTAGAAATGAAATGAAATTTTTAAACGATAAACAGATAATGATATAAAATTATTAATAATATTCGATTGTAATATTCTTATCAGTCATCGCGATATTGATGAAAGAAAAAACAAAAAAGTATGTAAGTATATAATAAATATACGTGTATCGATGACAAGTGCAATTTCCAAATATGTTATGCATCGTTACACGCGATGACGCAGGCAACACACAAAGTGAATTTGACCTACTTTCAGGACCAACTCTCTCATCTAAAACGATGAAGTATCGCGACAGTAGGTTTTCCAACATCGTGAGGAAAGAAAATGCGGCCGATGATAGAGAGAAAGGAGTCTGAGGAAGAAGCATCAATAGGTAAGTAGTAAGTAAGTAGAACATGTCACTTCCTACAAAGTTTCTCAACTTTCCTTTTTCAAACAACGAACATGAAAATATCGACAATAAATACGAATGAAAAAAAGTTTATTTTTGTGGCTTAATTTTTGTTGTCAATTTTTAATATATATTTTCATATTTAATAATAAACAATCGTTTAAGTATTGGCAAGGTAAATAAGATCGGATACACATATTACTATAAATATCTGTGAAAATATAATACGATAAGGGTATCATCAAATAATCGATCGTTTCAAGACGATTACAGACGATATCGTGGACCGTAAACAATTGATAGGATTTTTAACAAATATTTTGCGAGAAAGATACGCGCACGTTTATAATTTAAACACTGATTAATTATTTTGTGTTATTGTTTGAGGATACCATAAAAAAAGAAAAAAAAAGAAAACAAAATATGATGATACAAAAATGTACATTTTTTTTTCTCGAAAGAAACAGGTTTGAAAGTCACGACATTTGTCGTTCCGTTAACCGATCAATGGCAATCGTAAAAGCGTGATAAAAGAAAAAAAAAATTGCTGGATTAATGATACAAAGATGAACAAAATTTGTCGGTAAAAGAAAAAAAAATTAAAAATAAACACTTCTATATGTTCAAACATGATTTATTGAAGTTATTTAAATAAATTCCGCATTCAGATATCTTCGTTAACATACTTTAACAGGTAATAAGTAACCGTTATCACAATAGAATTAAATGAAAAAAAAAAAGAACAAGAAAATAGATATATATATCAAGAAATATCTATAACAGATAAATAAGACGAGATTCGTCGTAAAGGTGTGTTTGTCAGTGACAAACTGGAAATGTCAAAACAATTTTCTAGGTAGGATGAATAATTTTCCAACGATCTAGGGATAGTTAATAATACAGGAAATTCTCAATTACGTCGAGCATCGATGCTCAACCAATCGATGGTCTCTTTATTAAGACGTCATCGTTCAATTATGATGAATCAAAGTTATCTACCTGTTTACTATAAAAATCTATAACAATAAAAATAATGGATAAAAAACACAATGTATGTATATTCATAAATTATTATAATTTCAAATAGGAAATATAAGTACCTCTATCAATATTATCATTTTCTTATCTTAATAAATTCTCAACGACATATATTTTTCCTTGACAAGTAATTATATATGCGTTCTTATTGTGAATAATAATCGGAACAACAAGAATCAACATGTTGCAAAAATTAACATATAATTATAATCAAGTATTATATACAATTATATAGATCGTATATGCATATGATGCAAGGAAACATGTAAATCGTATGAAAATATTCGCGGGTGTAAATGAGTTTTAAATCCAGACCTTCGATTTATTCGTTGCACGAGACGACGAATTATCATGCTCGAACGATGACGCTTATACGGCACAACATGCATAATGAATTTCCTTGGATAGTAAAGCAGCTATGATTACACAAGTTGTATATTTCGTTATCGTTCACAGTATTCCGGGTCTTCGAAGTTCACCGATACCATAATTATCTTTTCTCAAATAAGATTCACATCGCGAGTACTTATGAAAATGTAAATTGAAGTAATTTAAAATTCATCATCATCGAACATACATAGATACATTCCTTAGTAAATGTATTTTTTCTCCGTTTATAAAAAAAAATTAATTACATATATTATATAGGGGTGGGGGGGGGGCCCGAATAAATATAATGTATTTTCATTATTATTGAAATAAATTTAATACCGATAACATTAAATAGAATTACTCACTAATCTCGTCGCGTAAATTTGAAACGAATTAAAAGAAACGACAAGATTAAATGTATATATTTGAAAATGAAAATCTATCGATTGGAATCGTTTTGTAATTATCTCATAAACACGTTCTATCTTTATCACGATCAATATCGATTTTCGGTAACATCGATTTCAAAGAAATACGTTTTTAATATCTCTGTTCGTGCTTATATTTAATAATTACTTTAAAACATTTAAGTATATTTAAAAAAAGAAATTCATAAAACAATGATTATATCTTTATTATCAAAGATAACATTTCTTTTATTTCGCTGTTGTTATAATACAAATCGTACGAGAATAGAATTTTTTTTAAGAAACCAACTTTGGTTTATTTTTATTATTCTTTAAATTGACTTTAATATGGGTTTAATCAAATGTTTGAACGTTTGGGACAACAACGAACATTCTCTAACTCTCACCCAAAGTTTTACAATAATTCTCAAACAATCTTGATCTCTCTCTCTCTCTCTCTCTCTCTCTCTCTCTCTCTCTCTCTCTATCGCTTTTAATTTGCTTTTAGAATACAAACGATCGATCGATTTTGTTGAACGTGTTTAACTCGCGAAATCGAATGAACTTTCAGGTAAGGACGGCCTTCGGTAACTCAATACGATCGATAGCTTTCGAAATCGTATGTGGTAAAACAACGTAAACGTAAAGGTAGGAGAGAAAGGGTAATAGTCACGGCATATGGCCATGGCACTGAGATTTGTACGAGATTAACGATAAATTGTGCGTATTAGATAAGACCGAAAGATAGTATGTAAATACGAGCGTCTGTGATCAGTTCGACATTGAAAAAAATCGTTTTTGACCGATTGCGTTTATCTTCCAAACGAAAAGTACATTGAACTGAAAATAATTTAGCAAAATAAAGAAGAAAACAAAAAAAAAAAATAAAAAAAAAAAAATAAAGAAAGAATACGACAGAATGAGCGTTAGAATAAACATTGTAATTATCTTTTAAATAGTTTTTAATCAATTTTATATAAACCGGTCCCCTCCCGATAATAATTTATATCGGTTCGATTTTTGTTGATAAAGCGAGCATAATAGTTTCGTTAAAACAAAACGAAATGAAATAAAAAGGATAAGTTACCTGGACCGCAACGATACTGGCCATGGCTGTAAGATCTGCCAGAGTCCTGAGATAACGAAAATATCTTGCGGACTCGTTCACGTTGCCGGTCTCTAGTTCCCCCTTAGTTTCTTGTTGCACCATCGTTCCAACAGTTTTTTTTTTGTTTTTTTTTTTATAATCCCCGTTAGTTTTCTCTTTCGAAAGTCGATCACGATAAAGAGATGAGACACGTTAACTGGACGGAATAAAGGACGACTAACGTTCAGTGAAAATCGCGGGAAGAAACTTTCACCTTAATCGTTAAACGTTCAAAATTAAAATTTAATCTTATTATATATTTCCCGTTTCTTCTTTTTTTTTCTTCCTCTCTTCTTATATTTTATATAATGGACAATTAAATTCTCCGATTGTTTCTTCAATTTTCACACTTTTGTGTCACTCTTGATTATCGAAGAAAACAAAAAAAAAAAAATAAATCACTTACTTAATTATACATCCAAATATTGTTTTTCATTAAAGCATAATGTTTTATGGATACAATATTTTCTAGATAAATATAAATAATCAAACGCACTAATGTAGAATAATAATGAAAAAAATAAATCATCACTGTTTATTATCTACTGTTATGTGTACGTTTATATATTAACGTATATACTCTTTTACATTTTCGAATTTGTCGCGTGTTTAAAAGCGAAATAAGAACAAAACCGAGAACGCGCGTGAACCGTACGAGCATCTAACGTGTTCTACGTGCCTTTGAACGTTCAGCGAGCTTTTTATCTCTTAACCAACACCCGTCGTCCCTCGTACCGTCCTTCTTCTCGTTGCTTTAACACGATCGTTCTTTCTCTTTCTATCTTA